CTTTCGTATTATATTTTTTTACCTCCTTTGTCTCTCCACTTTTTTGTGCATATATTTGTTACAGTTTTTATTACATGTTAAAATTATTTCTTTATAGTCCTTGAGGCAGAGCCTTTTCTATTTTGTTCTTTGTAACATTAGTATTAAGGGAGTAAGGGGAAAGGGAGAAAGGGAAAACAATCAATCCCAAGCCTGCTGTTTTAACTAACTAATCCATTCAACAGATATTTGTTGAATACATACTTTGTGTCAGGCATAGTGCTAATTACTGGGGACACAGCATTATGGTCCCAGTTTAGCTAGGAATATAGGCATTAAGTAAATAATTACATAAATACTTAATGTACATCAATATGAAGAATTATTGGTTCCTAGGAACATTTTTTTGTAGTGGTTAGGAGCTACGGCTGCAAACCAAAAAGTCGGTAGTTCAATTCCACCAGCCACTCGTTGGAAACCCTGTGGGGCAGTTCTACTCTGTCCGATAGGGTCACTATGGGTCGGAATTATCCCGATGGCAGTGGGTTTGGTTTTTTTGGGGTTTAGGGAACAGTTTTGGAGCTCTGGTGGTGCAATGGTTAAGAGCTCGGCTGCTAACCAAAAGGTTGGCAGTTTGAATCCACAAGCTGCTCCTTGGAAACCCTGTGGGGCAGTTCTACACAATCCTGTAGGGTCACTATGAGTCGGAATCGACTCGACGGCAGTCAGTTTTAGGAACAGTTTATAAGAGGGGTTCCTAACGTATCATAGTCATAGGGTGCCGGTGGTGATCAGAAAAGGCTCCACATGTGAAGCAAGAACAACAACAAAAAGAATAGTATGTCAGCATAGTTTTAGATGATACTATTCAGGTGTCTTTCTCTTCCTCAGCTGAGTCTGTAGGTTGTGAACCTTCAAGAGTGCATTTTAGAATAAATTTTTCTTAAGATAGAACAAATTCATAACTAAGTTTTGCTTAACTGGAGGGCATATTTGGAGGCATTCAGTGTAGGCTAAAAGTATAAATTATTTTGTAGCTCCTTTTGTTTTAATTCTCTATTTCTTGCCTCCTATAATCTTCAAATTCCTTCTTTCTTTTTTTCTCTCATTTTCATTGCCACTTCTTACCTACTTTGTTTCTCTCTTTTATAGTGTCTGGCTTGTGTTATTACTCTCCTACTTCTCTGCCTTCCCTTACCTGCCTTTAATGTACAGTGCTTTTTTCTTTTCTTTTCTTTTCCCCACTTCTTCCTTTTTTGGTCTGTATCCAAAACTAAAAAAAAAAGTAGAATGGATTCAAGTTAAAAAGACTTACATATACAAACTAATATACACATGTTTGCATATGTATATTCCAAGTTGGAGTTCATGATATCTTTTTCATTTTCTTTGTTATTGTTGATTTTTTAAAAACCGTTTTAAGGGTACAGATCAGACTTAGAGAATAAAAACACACAATATGGAATTTTCTGATTCAAGGGAATCACTAATTCATTTTATCGTTGAGGTCAAAGTTTTGCTTCCTACTAGTAAACAAGGTGAATGTATGTTCAGAAAGGAAAAAGCTGATATTGACTGATTTAGGGATAAATCAAGAAATGTGACATTTCATGTATGGGTCTTTTCACTTAGAGTGCAAGGTTGTCAGTCAGAATTTGCATGGTATAGGAAATCAATTGAAACTTGAGCCCGTGGACATTTGCTTCAGCAAAATTCTTACTAATTATCATGACTATGTCAAGTTAGAATGTTGTAAGCTTAATTTAGACTTGAAGAAAGATTGAGATTCTTTTGTATAACTGTAAACTTCATATTAGTTATAATTTATGATTTGTCAGTTTCATATAATACTAATTATTATTTCAGTTCTTTATTTAAACCAACATAAAGCTTTATATGTTGTACAGGCTGCTAGTAAACCTTAGTACCTCCTCAAAGTCATTTTATATAGAAAATTAAATGCCTTGTATAGCTGCTTTAAGTTATCCTTTTTTTTTTTTAGGTGGTTTTTTTTTTTTTTTTGGTCTAATTTTTGTGTTGTCTTATGTGATACAGTAAGTGATGTGCCTCTTTTAAGCTTGAAATTAATTTTCTAAAAACCACTTGTGTTGATTATTAATCTTTAACTAGATATTGAATGATCTAGCTCAGGAAAATAAATCAGATATACTGAATTGGCACTTAACAGTGTATTAACATCAAGAATTTGGTCTCAGTTTTCAATACTCTGTATGGTCACTATAAATCGGGATTGCCTCGACAGCAGTGGGTTTTGGTTTGGTATATTAGAGATTGGCAGACTGGGTACTGAGGTGCAGCTCTAGCCTGCCACCTGTTTTTATAAATGTTTTATTGTTACACAACCACACCCATTCATTTACTTATGTGTATGGATGCTTTAGCACTTAGGAGGGCAGAATTGAGTAGCTGTGACACAGAACATATGGCAAAGCCTAAAATATTTGCTATCTGACTCTTTAAAGAAAAAAATTTGCTGACTTCTGCTCTAATAGATATAGATATATAGTAGAGACTAAATTAGGAAGTAGTTGAACTTTATCTTTGAAAAATATTCCCTGAGAATTTTAAAGAATTACAAATAGAGAAATATAAGCATTAGCCTTTTCTCTTTACAGATTCTTGTTTCTGTTGAAAGTTACTTATTTCCTGTGTAAATTTTCAAATCCCAAATTAACCAATAAAGTTTTATTTTTCCCTTGTTGGCCATTTATTACTATATTTACATCAGTTATAAACATTAATAATAAAGCTAAGTGGAGATCCAAGTACTAAGTGATTGACTTGGCTCACTCATGTCCTAAGCACTAGAACTTGCACGCTAGCCTCACCAAAAAACATGGTTCAAATTCATACATCAGCAAAATGACAAATCCCTGCATGTTATGCATCTTTGGGGACGATCACTTAAATTATTTAAAGTATGAATGATAAATTCACGTGCCAAAGATCTACTGTATTTCTTTCATTAACTTAGCTACGGTATGAGTGGCCCTAACTAATAAAATCTGATTTTGATTTTCTTTAGTTTTAGTTGTTGCCAGAGAATTTTAATATTTGTGTAAATATCTCTTTTAAAGGTGTTTATTTAAAACATTTAAATTCTACACCTGCCTCTCCTTAAAGTAGAAATTCTTCACATTGCAATGTCTGAAGACAGCTTATAAGTATTACACAGAAATTCCGTATACTTTTTGTCATGTTTATTATTTGGAATATACAGACTGGGTAATCTGCCTACACTGTCATTTTCTTGTGGTCATACATAATTCTTTGAAACTTAACATAGAAATTTATAACCTTGAAATAAATATTATTTCTTTTACAAAGTTTCCCAGGAATCTACCAATTTAAATGTTTAATTATCATGTATGTTGTCACATTTTAAATTATGACGTTTAATGATGTAATTGTGAAATTTATAAAAATTTAAATTGAATTTTATTTAAAATTGTGTTAATTAGCTCTTAGTCTAACTTCATCTAAAGAGAATAACATTAAGATAAATATTCCTCACCACGTATGGCTTTCTTAAAAATAATATTTACCCAACCAGTAATTGATGGTGAAATGCTACTGATATTCTTCAAATACTTTTTCTGTGATTGTAAATAAAAATATAAGAATTTTATTATACATTTCTGCTATGCTCCTCAACTGAGTAAAAAAGAAGTAGTGATCTTCACCGTTCTTGTAAGACAAGCTTTTGTGAAGCAGCATCTTTGAAAACTGCTGATTTATTTTGGGAGAAAAAAGATAACAAGTGAGGGTAGTTGCCCTTACATAAGTGTGAATCCAAATAGTAGACATTAGTAATTTGATATACAATTAAGTGTGTATAATTTAAAGGTATTATACCCTACTGTTAGCTTATACTACGTAAGTGTGTAAAGAGGTAGTTTATTTTTTATTTTTCTGTTAAAATGCTATCTTCTAAAATTCGTGCTTTCTCTCCATAGAGATTTCATTGAATTGTGGAGTTTGGAAGTGTTTTGTGGTATATTTATTGACTGTCTTCTGTCATTTCTTTCTAGTATCCTTTTGTGTGGAGAGGGGGGTGCTAAATCATAGGGGCACAGAAATTTAAAAAAAAAAACACAGAAAACAGGAACGTGTATAACTCAGTTTTTTAGTACAGTTTCAAAATAATTGAGACCATTTCTAGAATCAAAATCATTTCACTAATACTCACTACAGATTTTCTTTCAATTTACCCAATTTAATTGTGGCTTGAATTATTTATAAATATTTTTAAGTTTGAGAATATTTGTTGTATAACATAAGAACTCTTTCCTTTACCACATTTCTTCAGTTCATCAACATCAGCAAACATTTCAGCAAACTCTGTAGCTCTTATAAGACAAAATGCACTTATTAGGGGAACCAATTTACTTTCTTTGTCTTTAAATTAAATAATTATATACAAGTTATGACAAAGGGAAAGTATAATGTTAGCCACCCAAAAATGTGGTTCCGTTTTGGTCAGCCTTTCTGTATAGGGTATTTGTTTTAACAAGTAGGAAGCAACAAGAGATTTTCAGGTCAAATTTAGTGGTAATTATTTGTCTTTGCTTTTGAGGGAACATAGTTAAACTTTGTAATAAAAATACTTGCCTTGTTTTATTTGTAATAGTGTCCAAAAGAGAGAGGAAATACAGCTTCTGATAAGAATTGAAAGTCCAGGAATAAATATAATGATGAGAATGAGTGCGTCTATCACTGGGGAACTTTCTTCATCTAAGCACATATGAACAATTGATCCTTGTAGTCATATATAGCAGTAAACATTAATAACTTAACAGTCTGAATTCAGTGCAGAAGATATGGAGCATTATTGAAAGATGGAATCGAGCAGGTGGCACTTTAATATGTTCAGTGTCATGGTTGACTCTAAAGACTAGTCGAACGAAATTACTTGAGGTTCTAAAGATTTAAAAAGCGAACTCATTTTGCTGCACTAAGGAAATGCTACTGATGAGGCTTTCTGTGTCCCTTTTTTCTAGGCTAGAAAATATTAACCCTGAAGAAAATGACATGGTAAGCCATTCTCTGAGGAGATTTCTTGATGTCAGTCTTATATCTTAGAGGCTTAAGTTCAATTGAGTGGGTTTCAAGAACTAAGATGTGGGAAAAAGAAGAATTGACACACTAATAATGTACATCTTTGCTGCAATATGAAAATTCAATAACTTCCCTCAGTCAATTTACAATTCACATGTGCCTATTAATTAAAACCCTATATTAAATAAAATATATTAAAACTTCATGTCTGACTAACATATAATGGTGTTGGTAGACATTACAGGAATTACTGAACAGAATAAACAATGCAGACACAGGGATAGCTATTCAGAAGAATGGAGCTATAATTGTGGATAGAATCTACAAGACCAAGGAATGTAAAAAGAGAATAACTGCAGAAGAAATGAGTGCCGTGATAGAAGAACGGGATTCTGCTTTGTCTCAGGTAACTCTGCATGTATCTGTAAAAGCATATACTTAGACTACTCCTCCACTCCTTTAAAAATTACTTTTACCCAGACGTACTTAATTCACATTACTTTTTAATATATAATCAATAACACAATGATTAGATATATTAAAATAATTGCATATTTTGTTACACTACTGTTCGAATATATGCACCCTTATTAATAAAACTGTTAACTTGTTATAAAAATATTTAGTTATATTTTTTAAAGTGATCGCTTTTATATGAAACATCTTACTGGACTCTCCTTGTTTTATGGGCTAAGATTATGTCTTCATTACTATTTTATTCCCAGTATCTAATTTTACACCTTTTACTAAACATTCATAAGTGAATCAAATCATTAGTATATTTTTTTCTGATCATTACTTTTATCTTCCTTCTCTAACCAGATTTCCTTCCTGAGAATACTGCTTCTACTGTGGTCCTTGTGAATAGTGGCTATGTTCTTCTTCATACCAGTTATTCCACTGGGCTTGGAGGCTTGTTTCTCATTAGTGCTTTTAGACCAGTGTTTCTTTTTTCCTCCCTAAATGCTCATGTTTTTGAAGCTCATAAATCAGACTGCACCACCAGTAAACACTCCTTTGACGGTCATCTACACACTCCTATGTCATGATGACCTCATTTATTAAAGATCTTAGCGTCTATTTCACTATGTCTTTCTTCAGCCTGCTCCTGTCATACTTATTGATGATTTAAATATCTATTCAGATGATTTTTCAAATATTCTGGCCTCTCATTTCCTTGATTTTCTCTTCTTCATTGATTGTGTGCTCCCCACTACCTCAGCCATACCTTCCATGGTCATAACTTATTCTTTGTCATTATCAGTCTCAGTTTTAAGTATCCCACTTTCTGACCACCACCTACTTTACTGTCTTTCCACCTCATTCACTCTAAATGCTAAGTCCATCAGGTTTTCAATTCCACTGGAAACTATACAATATTTTCTACTTACTACCTTTTTTCTATTCATCAAACCCCTTATGTCCTGATTTCCCTTCTTAGCTTAGATTCCATGGCCCATTATTATTGCCAACTTGCCTATAATATAACCTCAGTTCTCTTGCCCTGTCTTCCTTTCTCCTGCTCACCTAGTAAAACCCAAGCCTAGTTAAATTCGACTCTGCCTATTCTATATGATCACAACTTGGGTGGGGGAAATTTGCTGACTATAAATTTACCTTAAATTCATGACCACCATCTTGAAGTAGGCCTTTAGTGTTACAGTCTTCTTGCCTTTGGTTAGTCCATTCAGTCTCTCCTCTAGAGTACTATTTTATCCCTTTTCCTTTCTCCTCAAATATCTCCTCCTTCTCATTAAAACAGAGAACTTCTGCATGTCTCCACAATTTCATCTACCAACCCATCTGCATTGATTTGCACATATATCCTGTGCTTCCATTTAGGGACAGCCTCTCTGCTCCTGCACTATTTCACATCTCTTTTTGCCTGCTCAAGCTTGTCATTTAACCAGTTGTCCCTTCTCACTCCTACTTCATGAAATGTTTCCTATTCATTTCTATCACTATCCAAAATGCTTTACTATCTCTCATGGAAGCTGGGTAGAAGTTTTATTAAGTCTTGGTCCACTTTTGTTTTACCTTGTACTTTGGGTAATGCCTCTGGGCTATCAACTGAGGGCTGAGTACTCACTGCTACTCCTGGCAGATCCTGTCTTTGTCTCTTTATCTTGCTGTAAGACTATAGGAAACTCCTGTTATTCTTTTTCGTAGGCTTGGGCCTTAGCTTTTTAACTTTCTGCCCTGTACAGGTTTAGAATTTGGAAAATGATTTGATGGGGAAATCAGTCTCACATCTCCAGTTTTGTCATTTCAGCCCTGCCAAAAAGTTGACTGGTTTCTCTGTCATGCCTAGAATCTGCAAAACTCCCAGGGTTGGGTGGCGTGGGGTTGGGGGAGGATGACTGCAGAGCCTCAAATCACCTCTCTACAGTTAACCCCTCTTCAGAATCTTAGGCACTCAAGTCATTGTTGCAGCATGGCCCTCTTCTGCCTTTAAACAGATGATTTTTGTGTTTAGTTTGGCTTCTCTTGTTCTTGGCTGGAGCATTAGTCTGCCGCAAATGATTCTGTCCTACCTAGAAGGAAGTCTGACATCTTTAGAGTAGAATTGGAAAAGCTCCTTAGCGTTTTAAAATAGGCAAGTGTTTTTTCTGTGTTGTGCTTCACCAAGTGTATTCAATCTTAGATTATTCATTAGATTTTTAAAGAGATAGCCAAAACTATTTTCGTGTGCTTGGAAACAGATATTATAGCATAAACTCAAATATTTGATATTTTTATCATTTATTTTCTTAAGTTAACTAAAAATAAGCACGTGAAGAATAATTAAGTATTGACTGCCCCCCTTTCCTCTTCCTCTCATTCCTTTGCCCACGGGCTTTCATGGTATAAAAAGATAAACAAATAGAAGAATGCAGCATTTGGTAATATTTGTCAGCATGTTTTTATTTATAAATTGATGTATCTACCACTACAATATATTTACAGTTATGTTTTATGAAGAAGGGAAAGTAGTTGTTTAATTATTTTAATTTGTTCATTTGCCAAGTCCCCGGCCCTAGTAGTATTCATTTTAACTTTTATGTTATAGTCATTATATATTTATAGTTGTATTATTCTGAATGGATACTTTTTTTAACCTTAACTTTTTAAAAATAAACTTATTTTGGAATAGTTTTAGATTTACAGAAAAGTTTCAAAGATACTATAGTACAGAGAGTTCCCATATACCCCTCACCCAGTTTCAGTTTCCCCTAAATTTATCATTTACATTTCTATGGTACATTTGTCAAAACTTAGAAACCAGCATTCTATTACTATTAACTCTACTCCAGAGTTTATTTAGACTTCACCTGTCTTTATTAATGTCCTTTTGTCCCAGGATCCAGTCCAGGTTTCTACACTGCGTTTGGTTGTCATGTCTCTCCAGTTTTCTCTGGTCTGTGACATTTTTCAGTAGTCTTCCCCCCACCCCCGCCCCCACCCCGGCTCCACCAGGACCTTGTCAGTTTTGAGGCATACTGGTCAGGTGTTTTGTAAATCTCTCAATTTGGGTTTGTCTGATGTTTTTCTAGGAGCCCTGGTGGCACAGTAGTTAAGAGCTTGGCTGTTAACAAAAGGTCAGCAGTTTGAATCCACCAGCCACTCCTTGGAAACTCTATAGGGCGGTTCTGCTCTGTCCTGTAGTGTCCCTGTGGGTCGGAATTGACTTCATGGCAACAGGTTTTTCTCATGATTAGCCTGAGATTTTGGAAGGAATACCACAGAGGTTTCACCTTAAAGCTGTTGTTTAGCATCAGGTGTTTTATGATTATACTGTGTCTTCTGTATGGTGCCAGGACTATAAAGTGACACTTGTAACTTTAGTCCCTTTCTATCTCTATGAAAAATCTTCAGATTCAGTGAGAAGTTCTTGCTTTTGTTACATTTGTTAACTTACTTTATTTTTCTAATCAAGTTAAAATAATGTATTTACTTTAAATGGCCTACTTAAAATCATACCTCTTTCAGATGAATCTTTATACTCTTATTTATTCTAAATTCTTCTCCCATATCTCTTCTATCCCAAACTGAGAAATGAAAGCTTTAAAATCTTTCATAGGATAAATTAAAAATTTTATAATTAGCATATGTTTGATCAGAGAATTGTCTTACCAGTCTGTCATTCTTTCATCTTTATAGTTTATTCAGCTCACCAATACTCAAATATTACGTCCAGGTTATAGAAATACCTGGAAGTACAGGATAAAACTGGAAATTTCTTCACTATCTTTTTTTCTAGGCTCTTTCCATTTTTCATTCTATCCAAACAAAAAATTAGAATGGTAAATGGAAGCATTTCTTAGAATATAGAACTTAAGTCTTGTAAAAACTTAGAGGCCATCTAGTTTATTATTATCCACTAATTTGAGGAACTTTACCTATGGCTAATTTTCAAAGTAGCCAAATATCCAGCTTCTCTTAACTATCTAACCTCTGTTACCGGTATTCGTCTCAGAGCATTTAGCTGATAACCTAAATTCTGCAGGCTAGGCTTAGAGGTACAATTAAATCCAGGTCATACACCAGTAAGCAACAGAAGAATCTTGGACTAGTCAAGATTGGTGGGGTTTATTAGCTTTGAGAGCTGACCTTACAAGAGCTGCAGTAATTCAAATTACCAACCCTAGGGGTTCTGGCAAAATTAGGATAACTCTAGGCTATTTTTTATTTCCAAGGACTTGCATACCTAAGTAGGGCCTGACAGCAGGAGGCTTTGGGCCTTGTTGACACTTGTAGTTGGTAGAAAAATATGGTAGAGATTTTCATTGATAGGCTCTCAGCTGGTGCCTGAAGCACTAGAGACTGTCCCAGACCCTGAATACTGAAATTCGCAAAAGCTAGGAAAGGAGGCCTGTGGCACAATGATTAATCATTCAGCTGCTAACCAAAAGGTTGGCGGTTCAAACCCACCCAGCGGCTCCGTGGGAGAAGGACCTGGCAATCCATTCACCTAAAGATTATAGTCTAGAAAACCCAATGGAGCCATCCTGCTCTGTCATATAGGATCACTGTGAGTTGAAATTAACTTGATAGCACCTAACAACAACAGGTGATCCAGAACATAAGAGGAGGAGGTACCTTTGCTAGGAACAAGGAAACTACTTTTGTGGCAACAGAGGAATACAAAGAACTTGAATGGATACAGAAGCTGGCAAGCTGATAAGTTTAGTGGTGAGAAGATGGGGGCAGGGCATCAGTCCTTTTCTCAGGTTATTTTAGATTCTCAGTATGATGGGTTAATGAATGGTGCTGGATATTTAAAATGAGGAGACAGTTGGAAATAGTTGTCTTGGTGAACTAGGGCAAGGCATGATTGACAGGCTGATCTGAATGTTTATTTGAGAATTAGGGTAATGAATTTAAAGTGAAACCTGTCTGGAAGGTTGTATGATTTCTTCTAGCAAC